TGGTGACGTGCCAGGCCTATAGTACACTGGGGGAAACCCTGGAATGTGCCACTGCAATACCGAAAGAGAAAGACAGACATTCAGAGAACTGAAAAGGAAAAAAAAAATCAAAAATAGAAATGGAAGCATTACTTAAGAAGATCTCCTTAAGTAAAACGGTGCATTCAGTGTGTAGGAATTCAGTGCAATCTTCTTATAATTTACTTCTCCATGCTGAGAAAAGTTCCTCAATGGGGTTCAGGAATGAAGTGTGGAACGAGAGGAACTCCATCAGCATCTTGTCGGGTCACACAGCATATTCTGATGATGCGGAGAGGTGGAATCTGGCACTATGTCCTCACTGATGGACATAGTGCACTCTCCTCACAGAGTGCTGCCTCTTCTTCTGTTTTGCCTCCTAACATTCCACAGCCTTACTCCTCTTCCTCTTTTTCTTCTCTCTGTCTGTTCGAGACAGAGAGAAGTCTTAAAGATTTGAAATTATTTTAAATAAATCCAGGATTTATATTGTGGATTTCTTATCTAAATGTAAGGAAGTGCTAATGCTAAAATCTACTGAAAATGTTTTGTTTAGGGTTTTACATTAATCCTTTTCCATAAAGAATTACGTTTTTTTTTTTAGACCATAAACTGTGTTCTAAAGAATATTGTTCATACTGGTGCCATTAGGTTTGGTTGCAACTCTTACACATCTAACCTATAGACAAAATTGCAATGACACTTGTGGAGGTCAAATGCAAGCTGCCAATTTTTGCATGCCAAAAATTCTCACTATTGACAGCTTACTAAGCATAGTACTATCAACAATTCTACAAAACGGCAAAAAGCTCATCAGTTGTTGTGAGGTTCCACGGGATTTCAACTCTTGATCAAAAATGACATAGTGCTTGGATCAGATACAGGAGGATAGATTGCGGACAACCAAAAGAATTATGTTGACACCAGTTAATTATTTGTAATGCTGTCACTGTGCTTGTTGTAGGAATGCTCCTGGTGACAGCCGACACACTGGGCCATGACTTCCATGTCTTCCAGATCCTCACCCACCCTTGGGCTTCCTCACAGAGTGCTGTTCACCATCTCTATACCCTGCACCGGGGGGAGACCGAGGCCAAGGTCTGACACACAAACACAGACACAACTCTAATCGTTAAATTCATATTTGAACAGAGTGCATCAGTTATTCTGTTTGTGACTATGTGGAATTCCAGTTCTGCTGTCTAAGTAATTAAAAGGAGAAATCTGTTAAACTACACTGCAACAACACAAAATCTTACCAATTATTTTTGTCTAGCTTCTAGTTTAAATAACTTAGTTCACTTGAAATAAGACAAACATAACTTTTAAACAAGACAAATAATTTTGTCTTAAGTGATACAGATAAAAAAGTAGTAGCTTCACTGGCAGATTTTTTTTTTACTTCAAATGGAAAAAAAAAACCCATCTTGTTATAAGTATCTGCCAGTTGAACAGTTTTTGTCTGTATTCAACATTAATCACTTAAAGCTCGATTCACACAGCATGACTTTTTAGTCCCGATTTTCTCCTTATGACAGTCTTAGAACATTCGGCATTCTAAGATTGTCGCTTGCTATAATCGTTACCGATCGTCCTGCCATGTGTGGTGTGTTTAGACTGATCGGATGCAGTCGGCAGAAAGCGAGGACCACTCTGATCTGAAGTTGGGGATATTCAACATGTTGGATGTCATAGATTATTGCAGCATGTGTGGTGTTCCCCAACTAAGAGTGAGAATGCAACCCATTGAATGTGACAGGTAGCCAATCAGCGTGGTGATATAAGCACAGAGGGGAATCTCAAACAAAAAGCATCTCATATGGCACAATTGAGAGTCTGGTGGATATGTGGAAACAACGTGAATGTTTATTCAGATATTTCGTGCAAGGAATATCAAGAAAAATGGTGGGGTTTTACAGGATCTTCTGACTGAGGCCTGAAAGTTGGTGAAGAAAATGGGTTCATGTGTGGTGTGTTGGTCCTGCCATGTGGCTGGGTACCACACATGGTACGATCCAACCCGTTATAACTAAGATTTTTTATCGGCTCGTGTGTGGTCTCAGGATTTAAAAATCGACTGACGATCATAAAATCATACTGTGTGAACTAGGCTAAGGATAAGCCTGTATGTCGTATTGAAAAGGCTCGTGGTCTTCTACCTTTAAATTATTGTTGTCTTATTTCAAGTGCACTAAGATTTTTTCACTAGAAACTAGACAAAAATACTTGGCAAGATTTTTGTAATTTTGCAATGCATAGTCATCTTACAGACTTTTCAGTGTTTGCCTGATCTATTAAAATCCAATCTTTCATTTGTCAGAAATCAATCAATCAATCATAGTTTATTTGTATAGCACATTTCAGCAACAATGCACTTTAAAGTGCTTTACATCACAAAAAACACAAAAATAAAAAGTAATAAAAACAACATGCAGTTGTAAATCTTAAACTGACAAATACTGATATTGGCCAGTACTGTACATCTGTATATATCTACCTTTGATTGTATCATCACATAGTTTTGCAGTGTGAACTGGTGCACATGTATATAATATTTAATATTGTGACTATTGACTCTTGGTTTCACTTTATTCTCTCATTTTCAGGTTTTTTAATAGGTATGTTACCTATTCCTAAAATAATTATATATTAAGTTAAAAAATATATTCTAAGATGTGTCAGTGTGACTATATCAGAGATAGGAAACATATTGCATTTGATGTTACAGTAACGTGCTACAAAGTTGTGTAATGCAGTCTATTTCCTTTAGTTACATTCAATAAGATGAATATCAGCAACCACAGCATTGAGCATCAGAACCATACAGAATTTCTGTTGAAAAGGTCAGAAAACCTTGGCGCCCTTTGGCTCTTTTTACATGCTGGTTGGGGGAATGAATTAGATTCTTAACCTTTTTCACACCTGTTGTACACATGTCATCCACCAAGTTCATACCTATACACTTTCTTTGTAATACTCCTTCCTGCATTTTGCCTAAGCAGTTACATGACTGGTTATATATTAGAAATGTCACTTGGTCTTTTGGAGGGCTTATAGACGTGATGCTTGTTGGAGCCTTTCCCTGCTGTGCAACAACAGGTCTGGCCTGAAGGAGTTTTGTGTGAGAGATCGGGGAACATTTGATTACATGTGAGGTAGGAAGGATGTGGCTGACTGGGATTTGCCCGAAGACAACCTCTTACCAGAGTGTGGAAAGTAAAATGAACACAAGGACTATTGGTAGAAACCGTTTGTATTAGGCACCACAACCTTAGTGTAATTCAGTCTTGCAAGAACACTCTCAACTAATAATAATTCTTTCTCCACATGTAAATGCTTACTCCATTTACAACACCACACCTAAGCACTCTAGATTTCTTAACAGTTTTGAAAATCAATACATCTTTAAAGTAGAAATCAATTATCTTATTCAAAGAAAGCATTTTTCCATCCAGCGTTGGCGTGCAAAGACTTTGCAAAATAAGGTAAAGACACTTACTCAACAAAACTGCTTCAGGCCTTGTTCGGTTCAGGATTATTGACTGGGAAAACACACAATCACACACCACCTCTCACAGGCTGCCTGCAGTTCGGTCCGCTGACCGGCTGCACAGTGAGACCGCTTTGATCCGACCCGCTGTAAACATTGAATGCCAAGCTGCAGCCCAGTGCTGGGGCCAGGGGTTATCACCGCACGCTCACTTACACACACACAAACACACAGCCGCACTATGAAGCACAGTGGAGAGTGATAAAGTCTTCAGTTAGGTGGGTGGAGAGACGCCTTATCTGTCTCCAGCAACCAAACATGCGACCGGCTGCCAGTGACCCGAGGCCAGGTAAACAGACCTGCTGCTGATAACAGCTGTAAAGAGGCCGGGGCAGAGAGGAGTGTGGACGGGCATGGGGGGCCAACCAGAGAGCCCTCCTCCTGGAGGTTACAGATCAGCTCCTTTACTCTAGATATTACAGTCCTGCAACATCAGTTGGGATTTTAGTAGCATGACTAAACTCGGAAGTACAGTACTACCAGGAATGCTTGTACACCTTTTTGAAGATGTATCTTTACAGCTCACTATTCTGCATTGAGAAATGGCAACGTTCTCTAGCATTTATATAAAAACATGGGCATGGTGACCGATAAAAGTGAAATCTGCTTCCTATAAACAGTTAGATTTTTACCCCATATTTTCCATCTGCTAACCATGTACTGCATTCATTATTCTTCAAAACATGTTGATGCAATGACATGATGTGCTGGGTGTCTTTATGTTACTGCTTGTCCCAGATTTAGACCAAGTACCCAACATGCCAGTTAGTTTGAGATGAACAGCTGTCAGCATGCACAAACCTTGAGTGTTACTAGTAGTACTAAATATAAAGCTCCATTTATTACTAGTAGTACTGATAAAGGCATAACATTCATAGAAGTTTATAATAAATCATTATTAACTTTGTTGTCTTTCTGACACTGATTCTTTTTAATGAAGACCAATAATGTTGCCACATTTTTCATTTGTGAGGGGATCAGACTTCTTCAGTGCTTTAGTAATGGAGTGTTGTCGGCCTGCTTTCTTTCTTACTTTCTCTAAAATAAGAGTGCAACTTAAGCATCTGTCTACTACTGGGTGATGGTGCCTTACTTTTATTTCATCAGATAAAGGTACATGCTGACACTTTGAAAGACAAACTTTGCTTGGACAAGAAATTTTGTAGTACTTTAGCATTGTGTGAGATCTTATGACATGAGAAATAATTGCACCACTTTTTGTGTCTGTGAACCTCATTCAGTGTCCTTCACTTATTTTATTTCTATTTATGTCCCTGACACACATTTTATATGTCCCAGCTTTTTGCAAATCCAATCATTATACATCACCCAATTATTGGTCTGCATGTGGACTAAATCAGAGCATTCCTTCTTCTGGCTTGGTAGTATTTTGTTAGTGAGGGCACATTTAAAGTACTGGGATGAATAACTGAGTAGAATACTAAATTAAACCCAGTTCTTCCAGTTTTTATTTTTCACTTGTCAAAGTGGTACATATTACATTTAAAACAATTAGGTAAAGATAACTTTCTTAGTTTTGTAGGATTCAAAGTCTTGAACCTTGAGTTGAACTTCCTGTAGTTTGGTGACCATATTTGTCTTTGTTAGTAATTTGTTTATTTTTGACTCATCGGCCATATTTCTGTGTTCATCTTTGCCACATTCCCATCACTCCTGAAAAGGTTTCTTTCAGGTGAACAGGAACTCATAGTCTCGCTAACAAGTGTCACTGATTTTTCAGAGGATAGGCACGAGCGTTAGTCATGTCATATTGACATCCTTATATCTGTCACGGATGTCGAGTGTGTTGTGTAAAGGACTGGAGCGTGACCTTTCCAGCATCTCAGGAATGTACAAATCAACACCTCTGCATCATATGACTTAGAAACAGTTGCATTCCATCTATCAAAGATAACCTTCACCAACTCTTTGACTTCTATGCTTTCGATATGGAATTACAGCCACCTTTCAGATACTCTACCTGATCAAAATGCATTTGACGATAGAAATTTAGTCACCTATTTATAGCTGAAGCTTAGGCAGGTCTGTTGTGGTCAATTATGACACACACAAAGTAGCTCTTTATTATGTCTGAGTCATATCTAGTGGGGACAGCATAGGTGAGGCCTCCTCTTTCAGTCATCTCTGTGAAGTAAAGTATCTGTCTGGTATGCAAAGGATGCCCCATTAACTGTCATTGCTGGGGCCAATTACCCTGTAGGACCTGGCAGAGGATTAAAAGGCCACCAGGTACAGAGCTGTCTCTCTTACTCACTCTCAGTAGTTGGACATTCCTCATAAAAACTTTCTCATGAACCTTTTAAATTCATTTTATCCTTGTTGTATGCTGATTGATAAATGTAGATTGAGTGAAAACTACTAATCAGTCTGTCACCTAAGTCTTTAGCTCTTGGTCTTTTCTCATTTGCTCTTCCCTTGGCTTGTATTGTTTCTTGTAGCCTATCTGTCTGGTTTCCTGCATGTTTAACATGCTCCATGAGATCCTATCTTGTCAAGTGTCTGCTCTTGAGTGTTTAAGGAGGAGCCCTAACAAAGGGCGCCATTACAGCTTTTGTTTTAGTCTTAGTCATTTATTTCACCACCAAACAGCCTCAAATCAGATTGTCACCTTTAGAAAATCGTCATTGCCTAATCCTCTCACCCTGTTACATGCTGTCATGCACCTCTGGCAGATGTGTTTGTCTGCGCAGTAAACATTTTAGCCCGGTCACATTAATGTTTGCTGGAGTTTCTGGCTGTTTACCTCTGCTCTGCATATTTCTGTGGTGAAGAAAATGGCACAGAGAGGCTTTTAAACACATGCATGCTCACTATATAAAGTGCATGGTAGTTTACTAGCATTGTTTGTTCATAATAACTTGTGAAAAATCAGATGCCCATTTGTTCACCATTTCCTCTCTAGTTAAAAATTACATTGTGCTTTAAAAACACGTCAATGTCTGTTACTCAACAATTCGGTTAGCACGTGCCCAAACACATCCTGTTGTTAGTCTTTTTGCTCTCACACAATGTTGGAACCAGGCCAAATTTCCTGATTATCTTCAGTCTGAGAGGTTAAGCCCTCATGTAAACTCACTGCTTTAAACAGGACTTCAGCATAAACTGATTAGAGCTCACCACTGTTTTACGTCATACATCAGCAATGAAGAAAAGTCTGTTTTAAGTTCTTCTCTTAAACTGTTCTCTTTGTTATGGGTCTTCATTATGCTCTGAAAATGTCTTACTTTATTCTAGTGTATCGGTTTGTACTAATTGAACCAATAGAAATGATTTTGAGAATTGGTGATGCAACAAACCGAATTCTGTCCTTCCTGCTTTAGCCATCATCAATCATTTATATGAGGAACAGAGTTGATGTCACACTGTGTGAGAATATAATTACTTCTCACACAGGATTTTCTTATTATTTTAAAACTAAAACTAAATGATTTTAGAGTTGACCATGTGTATGCAATGCTCACCGCCTTCCTCTCTGCTACGCTACAGCTCCTTCCCCACACTGGAGCTTGTTGTGAATGCTCAGGCTGTGGTCAGTTGACAGCCCATATGGAGTTTTCCTGGAACAATAAGTTGTTGCTCCACCATTAACACATTGAGCACTGCGTACAGGAGAGTGATTGACAGCACCAAGACCCTCCTCCAGGCTTTGATTGGTTGTATCTGATCAGTAATTATGTATTTATGCAGATAACATCAGGTCTTCAGGGAGAAGGCAGAACAGCTGTATTTTTGTCACAGATCATCTGTCTCAAAATATACATAGTGACAGTTTTGACAAATATGTAAAAAACATTTGGTTTATAGATGTTTCTGAATATAATGGAATAAATGTAGCTAATGAACATTTCAGACTAAATGGTCTGATTGTAACAGGAAGTGAGTCTTTCAAGAGAAATTTTTGCAAATAAATGTACTGCATTCTTTATGTTAAAATAGCGTAGTTTTTTTTTTTGTTTTTTTTTTGAAGCTACAAAGTTTTATGTTTTTCAGTCATTGTCTATTGACTTCAGTCTGTTGTTTCTTCTCTCTGCCCTTTCTTTCTGTCCTGTTCGTGCACTGGGTCTGTCTGTCTGCTCAGGTCCAAGACATGTGCTTTAGTCAGGACAGTCGCTGGGTAGCCATCAGCACCCTTCGAGGCACCAGCCACGTGTTTCCAATCAACTCTTATGGTGGCGCACCCTGTGCCCGCACCCACATGTCCCCGCGGGTGGTGAACCGGATGTCGCGCTTCCAAAAAAGCGCCGGCCTGGAGGAGATCGAGCAAGAGCTGAACAGGGCGGCTGCTGTTGGTGGAGGAGGAGCTGGAGGCATGGGAGGAAGCAGCTGCATTCTGGGTGGAGGAGGCGGCATGGGCGGCCGCTGCAGTCCCATACCTGGCATGTCCAGCAGCCCCTCAGGGTCTCCACTGCATGGTAAGGAGCGGGGTGGGGTGGTGAATGTGTGGGCAACCCTTCTTCTGTTTACTGCACCAAACCATTGGAACGTCAACATTCTGTTATCCTGCTGCATCTCCTTTGTGTGAATGCTCAGATACATATTCAGATACATACTGAGTTGGACTCAGGAAAAGCCTGAATGAATCGGCCCTTTCACATGAAGGGCAACGTTTTCCTAAAACTTGATACTGAAATATTTCACTTAGAACTACTTTCTAGGTAAGGAAAATTATCTTTCTATGGTACCATGACACATATTTCTCTGTGTGTGTGTGCATGTATGTGTTTGTGTACATACAGGCTACTCTATGTAGCTAAACAGGGTTTAACTGCCCTATTTAGGACCATTTTTGTCATATTTACTAACTTTCTGAAGACCAAAACCCAGCCCTAATACGATGGACCCCATTGTTGGGTCAGAGGTTTGGAGGTATGCTGTGAATGAGGTTTTGGTTAGGAATGGACTAGCAAAGATTAGGTTTGGGGAAGATGTCTAAGTTGGGAATAAATGCAGTTACTAAAATGCATGAAAGTCAATACAAAGTCCTAATGTGGGTAGAAATATAAGCGTGCGTGTGTGCGTGCGTGTGTGCGTGTGGGGGCGTGTGTGTTTCCAGTTACTGATCATGACAGTAGCTCTTTTCCTGGGACTCCGCCCTGCCTTTTGGGACCTTGTCTCCCTTGTTTGTCAAACACCATTGCAGGCTGCTCACACTGTCTCTGTGTACCAAGTCACAGCAGATACACACTGATACACACATACCTTGTGCCAACTGCACTGCTTGACCCAGAGGTGTTACTCAGTGTAAAATATCACAGTTCTCATCAGTGATTGGCTTCCAGGAATAACCCTGAGCTTTGATAGCTTTGCTGTGGCCGGGGTCATGCTGGGAACTTGGTAAACACTTCAAAGAACTGAATGACTGCTAACTGACAAGTGAATAAGTTTACATAACAGGATGTGTTTTATATCTTATTTTGTAACCTGATTTTATGAAGCTGGTTTTAGCTTACAGTGGAAATCATCTTTTAACCTCTTCAACTGTTTCAGTTGTAGGTGAAACTGGTGGCTCTGGGGACAGTGGGGCTGGCAGGGGAAGTTCCCCCAGACTGACATTAACCTTAGAGATATTGTTGTCATCCATTCCTTAAAATATGATTGTCTTACCATTCAACTCCACAAAACAAATTTAATGTTTAATGAATTATTCAATTATTTGAAAAAGTAAAACTTATTTACCTGCAACACATTTTTATTTCTTTTTTATTTTGTCAACATACATATTTTATTAAATATCTTAAGGTATTTAGAGCAACATGCTACAGTGCAAAACCATGCAGTTCTATCTCAGTACATTTCAATATCATAAAATATATATATATATATATATACACACATATGTTTATTTCAGTAAATCAATACAAAAAAAGAAACTTTTGTGTAGGGTCATTATTCACAGAGGAACAAATTTTGAATCAATGTATATCTGTTATTTTAATGATTATTCCTTACAGCCAATCAATACCTAAAGTTTCATTTCTCAGATACTCAACAGGGAACTGAAGCCACAATTGGTCATTACTAAAAACTTGGATGCTGATGGAGTGATGTATCTGAGCACATTAATGGAAAGCTAAGTAGATGGGAAGGTTATGTTACAATAGGTTACACAACGCAACTGGGATAACCAGTCTCCAGGCTCAGAGGACTGTGAAGACCATTCAAGAGTGTGAGGGAGATTCACAGGTTTCTCTTCTCCATGGTCTAGTCTCACTTTAGCCATGAATATATTTAAACATGAAACATTCTGTTTGTTTTTGTTTTGTTTTTTTGCATTTTATTACAACATTCAGGGTTATCTTGCAAGTTTTTGTGAAGAGTATAATTACTGATCTACAAGCTGGAATTTTAAATGTGGTTTACTTCATGGTTTCCTGCCAGTTTGAATTTGACTACACAAAAGTGGAATGATTGTCTTCAGTCTATATATATATATTATGTTTTAGTTCATTTTAAACCATTGTAATATATTTTGTTTGAAGAGCTTCTCACTTTTACCTCCTAGCATTAAGCTGCTCCTACAGTCTGTTTTCTCTGTTCTGACTGGGACCAAAGTCTGGAACAACGGATGCAGGTTGATGTTTTTTCATATGCGTATCACAGACCTCACAGCTTTATATATCAAACATTCACATCCCTACACTTCACCTGGCAGACTGTGTCCTAGCTTCCTCTTTTCCTTCTTGTCTTTCTTGTGATGACTAAGACCTCTCTTTAACCTCCATACCAAACTACTCACATTCCTCCAAACTGAGGAATAGACCATCAAACATTAAAGGACCTCATTGGAGACTTGGTTTGGCTGCGATGAGAGACTGAGTGGCACGGGAACATCAAAGTGGAGGGGGGAACCAGGTGAAAGTGAACAAGCAAAATAATGAGGTGTAACTGAGGGAAAGCAAGAGATGGGGTACATAGGTGGGGGTTGGGGTACAGGCACAGGGAAGGAAAGATAAGTTTGTAGTAGCAGCGCTGAAAGTCAGGGTCTTGGGGAGCCTGCTCGTAAATCACACTTTTGTTTCAAAGGAAGGCATTAAGGCCACCTGTCAACAATTAGTCTTCACAGTGACACTAAACTGAGTGTGTGTGTGCGCACACGTTTGAAGAAGATAAACTGTCTACAGCATCATTTATACGGCGAGGTGTTCAAAAGGAGTGGATCAGAAACATCTTTCACGGTAAAGTCAATGTTTTCATAGCTGGAATATTTTATTGTTTACATTTCAGTTTCTTGTTTGTAGATGTTGTGAATTTTTGAAGATCAATTATCTTTTCGCACAGCAGTTTTTAAGCTGCAGTTGTCATGTGATTCTTTTATCAGTATTATACCAGAGACTCAGGAATGTTTTTCAGCCTGAAATACTTTAACGAAAACTCTAATATTTGATCAAGGCTCAAATCTGCAGAATTCAGTAATCACTCTCAGCTCACAAGTGAGATTGGAGTCAGAGAGTTTCATCAGTTGTGTGTTTCCTGTAATCTGAAGTGAATTTATTGCCACTGTTTCATGACATGCCTGCTGTCTCCTCCATCAGAAATGCCAGTGGTATTAATAAAAACACCATAATTCGTCCAGTTTTCACCAGACGTAAACAAAGAGTCACTTTTGCTGTTGTGTCTGCCTTCCTTCTGTTTTTGTGAGCCGGGTGTGAAATTCTGGGCAGCTGAGGTGGTTTTCCTCCAGCCTGGCAGAGAGCGGCGGGGTGAGGCAGGCCGGGGCCTGGCCACCTAGCCACAACAGCTGCGCTGTGATTGTCGCCAACAAGGCCGGCGTTGATTTTTGGGAAGGAACTGTAGAAAAGTACACATCCTCCTCAAAGCTGCCAGTCCGAGCAAGCGGCAAACCTAAAAATAGAGGCTGCAATTGGCTGTCTTCTTGTCACTGTTAAATTCTGGAAGGGCTATTTGTGTCCCTGGATCCAGTTTCTCGGCCCCGTGGTTTTTTTCCCCCAAAGCCTTCCTTTTGTGTGATGGATGTATTGTTTTTTGAGGTGATGACCCATCATGTGAGCGTCCCACGTTGTAAAGCTCGGTTTGTTTGGGAGCCAGCATATATGAGCCTAGATTAGTGAGTGCAGGTCTGTGGCGCAGGACAGAGGTTATTGAGGTTGCAGCAGGAGCCGCTGTTGTTGCTTTCATATTCAGATGAACTTCATATTTAGCTACCGCGTTGTATAATACAGTAAGTCCTAAGTACAGTTTAGATCAAACTGATTCATATTTCAACTGAAAACTGTCTTTGTTCTCCCCAGAAATTGGTTCCTGACAGAGAAGCAGACAGGTTCCTCTCAAAAGCTGGTGAACAGGGTTGCTGAGTGGCTCAGGTGTAGAGGCTGTTAGTCCTCCATGTGGTCGCCCGGGGTTCGATTCCCGGCCTGGGGCCATTTGCTGGATGTCTTCCTCTCTACTTTCTGTCCAATTTCCGTTGAAGAAACAAGTAGTAAGCTATTTAAAAGGTGTATGTTTATTAAAAGAACATTTTAATAAACATACAAAACATAAAATTTTAACATTTCATGTTTTAATGAAAAAGGAGCTATAATAATTTACATCTTTCTTAAGCATTTTGCATGCTTTGGCTGGTATTTAAGAATTAATCATTGCTGATGAGCTCTAAGGCTAGAAGGTCTCCTCGCTAACACCCTAATCTTTAACTCCTCCTCCATATATTCAGAATGCAAACAGTACTTCCTGTCACAAGAAACAACTTGGTCAAATGAAATGGGTTTTGTAAACTTAAACCTGCCAGGAGTTTAGATCAGAGAAATAATTTAGGGTTTCCTCACAGTTCAGCTGTTTTGAAATATTTTCATTATGGTCTGGAAGCTAAACATGTCACTCTTATTAAGGTAAAGCTGTTTTCAAAGCTCATATAGACAAAATAGAAGCAGCATTTCCACCAGAGCAGACAGTCTGACTGGTTAACGGCATCAGCTTCCTTTACTTGTGTTAGACTGTTCCAAGAAAAAATACTGCACTAATGTTTTGTAAGTCTGTGTAGCAAATCGTATATAAATATAGAGTATAAATGTATTAATTTAAATCAATTTATTTGTAGGAGAAACAACATATATTTTTTAAATGAAATATTTCAAATTAAAGTATCTTTTATTCAATTTTTTCATATAGTGATAATCCTGTTGATAAGCTTCCTACTCCCAAAGCAACTTATCAATAAGTTTTAATTGAGTTTATCTCCTTACTGTAAGGAAAAATATTTCCATTCTGGTCAAAGGATTTTCTAACCATCTTTATTTTTCATCCCTGGTTGCTGGCTTTGTCTGCGCATGCAGCATCAGGAGTGCAAGACGTCAACACTGGGCTGTAAGTCAGTGCAACAGATTTGTTTCCTCAGCAAGCTGAAGTGGTGGTGGTCCGATCACTGGGCCATCTGGGGCCTGGCGCTGGTTCAGAC